AAATTAATTATAACAGTCGCCAGTATTACTGGCTCAACGAATAAAATGCAAGCGTCATTGAATATGGTCTTGGATACTTTCCAATCATTTGTTCTATACGTCTGGAGATTCTATTCTGCTTTCTGTGATCTAGGCTTAGTAGCTTACAGCCTGATACCGTTCTTTAAAAGCCTGCAGGAAAGCAGCCAGTCCACTACACCCGATAGTCAAATGTATACTTTCCTTATTGCATTAAATCGTATTAAGATGAAATCCAAATCATGCAATATAATCTGAATAAAAACTAGGCGACCCTTTGCAAACATAGACAACAGAAGTATGCCCGATTTATCATTGTTTAAAGAACATGTCAAGCTTTGCCTTTTTTCTAAAGCCGTGTAATAAGAATGGACTTTGTAGTATCAAATACATTGTCGTCTATGCACAGTATGAAAGCATCTTGACACACTGTTTAGTCTACTCCTTTCCTATTGGTTTAAAGAGCTCGAGGCCAACTGAAGATGAATGAAAATAATATTTTCAACGACAGTCTACATCCATTCAAATGTAAACCAGCCGAAGAAATACTGCGGCTAAAGCTGAGCACTGCTTAAGGTACTGGAGTACTCAAATCCAATTAGGAACCCGATTACGTCATAGCAATGCAGAAGCTCATTTTATTGCAAATTGTTTAAATTTTCCTTTAGTAAATTTCAACTAAAAATAGTGGAATGTGAATTAACATTCCCTAAGATCAAAAACTAAAACAAAAGAAGAAATTGTTATATTTTCCAGCAGTTAGTCAGTGTTTCAATATTAGGTAAACAACCCAAGATACGTCAAAACAATGAATCTCTCTTAAAAATGGCAGAAAAAGTCTTTAGAAATTTTACTTTGTCAAAAGAATGTAATATTTTTACATTGATGGTTACTGTAAATTGATATCCTAGAATGTGACTTATTTAAGAATAGATTTTGAAAAGATGTCGTCATTCTAGGAGCACTCTTTGGAGTTTGGCTGGCACTTTCAATCTGTTCCAAGCTCCAACAACATTAAGGCTTGGAATCGAGTTCATAAAACTTTTGCCTATATTATGCCCGATACACTTCTAATAACGATTAAAAAGAACCAAACAATTGTGTTGAAGTAGGCCTTGCATTTTCTAGAAAAGTTTCTATCTGTAGTGACATCTACCATCGTGGTAAGATGTTGTTTTGAATCATCTCCAGGCAAGCATCCTTAAAGAAAGTTTTTGCCTTAGCAAATAAACTACTTCCAATTGACTCTAGCGCCCAGGAAATGTATTTTGTCACTGATATGTTATAAGAGGATTTCATCTGTATTAAAGCAACTTACATATCACCACTTAATGATTTTTTTTGGATTATCAGCTTCTTGTGTGACATTACATTCTAAGCTTTGTTCATTGATTATCTGAAAGCAAAAAAGCATATTATAATACAGTAAATGCTGTTCTCCAATCTTTAAGTTCTTTCTACAAAATGAGTTTATAAGGTGGTTCATTTTTAAGTCTTCAAATCTAGAAAGAACGTTTCCTTGTTTCTATCAAAAATGCAAAAAATGTAGCTTTCAATTAATTACCTGAGTGTGATTTTTGTAAGTAAAGCGCAGCTCCACGAAATAATGTCAAGAGGTTGCTGAAATAATAATATGACTGTTAAGTAGTAACATTGGGCCTAAGTAATTTGTAAACGAATCCCTTTGGCACAACATAACTAAAAAAGAGAAGAAACAACACAGGTTGACATATTTATTGCTTTGGAAGGTGAACCTCAATGCTGAAACATCTCTACAAGCGTGGAGTGTAGTACCCAAATTCGATCTTACATTTCGTAATAAATTTTCGATACCCTTACTTAGTTCTGCCCACAACAACCAACAAAACATCTTGTGAGTGTTAAGAAATTATCATTCAAGAGCCAACTTTCAATCACATTGTCCAAACGTATGGCTTTTTGAAACCCATTTGGTGACCCAGACTCCGTTAATGATCGTTGACCCTAAGTGGCAGGCTGGAGATAAATTTCAGATTAAAAAATGTTAGATTGCACCCAACGAAGTAACAAAGTATTTTAATTTGTCTCGGGAGCTGTTCTATGCAAGAACAATCAATGGTGAATTTATTGTGAACGACAAACTTGCATACATGATGTACACGCAGTCAACTAAAGATCTGTTTTCTATTGAGCTTCCAATCGTGAGAAACCCAACGATTATTGCATCATACGAACATTATGGGAGGTCAATATGATGCAAAATCTTCGGAAAATCTATCATAGTAACACAAACGTTGTAATGATACAAAGACAGTTTCGATTTTTTATTTAATAATAAAAGTTGGAATGGACCACAGGCCACCCTACAGGTATCCAGGCACGATATAGGTTACTACTTCTCAAGGATAAATGAGGATAAAGGCATATAAACTGTCATCACAAAGTGGGTGGTGAATTAGTTACTATCTCTTTGACACTAATAGGTGTCCAGAAAACACTGTCGAGAAATTTGATTATAAAAGAGACATATTGAAATTCAACTTATTGTCACAAAGAAATATTCTAAACAACCGGTATTCTAAAAGGAACATAATTCGAGTTATATTTGATTGGAATTTAATAAGCGGAGTTGGCAGTATGATAAAAGTAATAATAATGATTAACAGTAATAAAAAGAATTCACAACAATAATACAATTAACGTAACTTTATCACCACCGGGTCTTTCTATTAAACGGTCAATCTTGTGGTATTTGTTGCTTTTGAAGACTTTATCATATTTTGTTTTATCAAATAGTAGCAGAAGCCTTCATTTATTCCAAACTTGGTTGCTAGAGCACAGAATTGAAAGAACGACTGTGAATGCAAATCATGTCTATGAGAACAAATAAAAAATAGTTGACTAACAAATACCTTGAAAGGAGAGAGAAGTTTAAAATGCTTAGGAGCACAGTAACAAAAAGGTAATGGGGCAGTGGATGGAGATGGAAAGGGCCGGGGGCCTTTGAATTATAGAAGTTCTCTTAGTTAAGCTAAAGATTGTAAAAGCAATTTTCCGTGATTTTGGCAGGGCTTCTCCCATTACAATTTCTGGAAAGGCAATCAAGTCACCAAATGGTGTAAAAGGCAACAAAGCATTTGCAGTTAGCTTTATCATTGATATGATCGGCTTTTAGGGAGTAAAATCATTTTTGCTTCTATATAGCACTTGAATTCTCTGCGAATGAAATACTCAAAGTCTTTCAAAGTTTCTGAAATTGCTAGTAGAAAGCGAAAATAAAGTAGTAAAATGAATATAATGATTGAATTTTAACTAACTGCTCAGATAGAGACACTTATAGAAACACTTCATATTCGCCATGAAAAGACTTACCAGTTCCATTGCAGCATTTTCTTCCCATAATAGTATGGTGGAATTACGATTTTAGGTTCCATACGATACTGGGAATAACCAGAAAAAAGCCCCATCAATTGGACATTGGGAATTCCTTATTTGGGAAAATCCCATTTGGCGCGCACTGATCAGCAGGGGTTCAAATTTTGATGTCGCTAAAACCACATTATATGTACATATTCTGAAAGACAGTTTCATGCTGAACAACTTTTGTTCAACATACACGCCCTTACAATGCGGAAATAAGTACTTTCTGGTCAAAAATAGCAGATAGGGGGCAACTGGGCAATAGAATGTATACAGTGGTGGCGCCAGGGGAGGGCTAGGGCGCTACAGTCCCCTCATCGGAAGCATCTAGCCCCCCTGTCGGAAGTAAATTTTGGGTTATTGTCGGAGCAAATTTGACAAATAACGTACGAAAACTGCATATTATAGTCAATTCAATTTAGCCCCCCTGTTGGATGCTCCAGATCCTCTGTCGGAAGATTTCTGGCGCCACTTCTGGCAGGTTGAGAATCCCGCTAAACATTTTGAAATTTCTGCAATCCGTGTATTATTTTGAGAAAATCTCCGTCCGGCAAGTGCCAGATTTCCGCAATCTACGACATATTCACTAAAATTCTGTCCTTCCGCAAACACTGATGGCATCTTCATTTGAAGAAAAAAGGCAAGGATCTACCCTGTGCCTTGCAGACAAATATTCTTGCTGGTAATCACTGCGGGTACGAAGGTCTTTTAATGCAGAACACGGGAAAAGGTGAACCACGTTTAAGTGTATATATTTGTCTCAGGATTTTCCAATTTCCAAGTCCGGGTTTCCGTTTTTCATAACCATATTCCGGGTTTGGGTTCTAGGTACTCTAAAAACACCCACTTCTTCTTGTGCGCACTTCTCAATTGAAAAGTTTGCAATTTTTGGAATTATACGTAATTTGGAAGTTATCTCTTTTTCTGGAAAAGAAGGGCATAAAGGGAATATTACTGGCCCAGCATCAAGCTGCAGTTTTGTCCAGCAACTTTGAAATTGCACTGAATTTGGCAGTGTTTTTTACGTCTTAATAACAAAAAATTACTAAGATGGAGGATGTCACTGAAAAAAGTTTAAAAACTGTCAGAATTGAAATCTTCATCTTTAAAATAGTTTATAATGAAAAGATCATGTTGTTTGGACGGTTCGGTCGCGAGTTACTTTGTTTCGAATATTTAGATATTTCTTTAGATTTGACCGGAATTTGCTGCTGCAGTGAAAAAATTTCACTAGAGTCAGCCCGGGCTGAGTGGGCCCGGGTTGAGTCAGCCCCGGCTGAGTGGGCCCGGATTGAGTCAGCCCGGGCTGAGTGGGCCTGGTTTAAGTCAGCCCGGGCTGAATGGGCCCGGTTTAAGTCAGCCCGGGCTGAATGGGCCCGGTTTAAGTCAGCCCGGGCTGAGTGGGTTTTATCATACTTTATCTTATTATTTTGCATCACACACACTTATTATTAATGATTTTGTATCGATAGAATTTGCGATATAAAATGAAAATATTCAGCAAGAGGATCAGCCATTTTTTTCCGCGCGTTTTTCAATATTCACTCGTCCCACTTTGTTTCTGCCCAATCACCACTAAATTTGCATATTCTAAGGGTACGTATGTTAAATAAGAAACATTCAGCATGAAATTATCTTTCAAAAGATGTACATACTATGTGGTTTTAGCAACATTAAAATTTTGAACCACTACTGATCAGTGCGCCATTATGGTATTTGCCCAAATAAGGAATTCCCAATGTCCAATTGATGGGGCTTTTTTTCTGGTCATTTCCAACTTAGTATAGAACATCTGTGCCAAATTACAGCTTTATATTATTTTTATCCGGGTTAGACCGTTTTTATATCTAATTCCACTACACTATAACAACAACCAACAAGGATCCCAAAAGGATTAGAGAACTAATTAATACTCTTCGCCATAGTACCTGCAGCATGTGATTGTGAACGAGCAAATAAAGTGCTAATAGATTTTAAAGTGTTAATCGTCTTCTTAAGTCATTATGTCACAAAAACTACCTTAAGAATTTTCCAATATAGCATCATGAAATACCTCAATGAATCCAAAATCGGTTAGCCTTTATTGGTAGCAATAGCATATCCCTGTCACAGAATAGAGAATCTTCCTTTTCTATCCTATGACCGCACGTAAATCGATTTTTCCCTACCTTCACATTCTAGTCAACACCAATTCGTCAAAATTGAGAATCGACGGCTTTTAATGCATTGTATGGAAACAGTGCCCACATCAGCGCACCTTTGATGACATTTGTTAAGGAAATCATCCGCCTGGTCCAATCATCTCGCCGTTGTCAGGGACCCTTCTTACTGCTGGGAGCATTTTCGGTAAGGGTGTTCTGGTGGGATTTTACAAATTTTGGTCAAGGCTGTCATATAAACCCAATTTCTGGTGCATTCAAATCCCAATGTCCTTGCACCAAAAGAATCTAGCAAGGCACAAGATAAATGACTAAAAAGGCAGCGAGGGGACAGAAAACTCGGTCTGCGTGCAGCCTCAACTGCTTTCATTCAATTCAAAGTTATGGTCGAAGCAGTAAGGGCTTTTACAGCCTACAAAAATCTGGAAAATGAAAAAAGAAAAGATTGCTCTAGCTTTTCGAAACTATAAATATCATTGAATTGTCAAGATAATAAATAGGATTATAAGATGGTCTATAACTTCCTTAAAAATTCGCTCTTGTTAGACTTTGTGGAAAGCGGACACAGGCCCGGGTGGGCTACTGTTAAACCTGCAAGTGATTAATGGCAAAAATAGAGAAAGGTGATCAAAGACTGGTGATGTAGCATCAATTAATTTTGCCACAAAAGGCTTTAGTAAGCCACTGAGCAGAATGGCAATTAGCAAGGTTTATGACGTATCAGCCATCTTGGTTTGAGTAAAGCGTGCAAAATACATTCTTCGATTGAAACACTCACCAGTGGTGTTTCATTTGATATAGGTACAAAACTAATGTGGGATGACAAAGGTGTAAAATACATAAATATTCTCTTGATTTTTAAGATGAAAGACTAGTAATGAGAAATTGACTTCCAAGATAAAAACTCTCTTGATGCTGTTTAGATAAGCCCCTTAAAGCCAAGGGTGAAGAACAAAAAAATGACTGTAAGCTCATCACTGCCTTCAACAGTTTAGTGGCAGCTTCGCTATCAAGTGCTGCACTTCGATAAACGTACAAAGAGGAAAACAATTATCGCAAAACTAGGCAAACACAAAGAATTTGGGACTAACGATGATATAAGTATTTCTATTCAACTGCTTTAAAAGATTCTAAAACTTCACTTGATATTTGAACAAATCTTCTTTATGTTTAATTTATACAGTATGAACGTATAAAAATATTGAATTGCTTTAAATATGTCCGCAAAATCATTTACTCGGCAATTTAAGAAACAATAAACTATATCGCTTTATTTACATTTCAACTTTTTAGATAATAGAATACACTCTATTTTAATTGATTCATCTGATTACTGTTATAAATCTCTAGATACTATATATTATCTTAAGCGTTTACAAATGTCCTTCTTGTCTTCTTTCAATGATGAATTAATCACGGCAAAATCGATCAAGCTAAGAAACCCGTCTTATACTAAAAACAATCCATCTGACCAACCTGGCCAAAATCCCCGAATACAGGCAATGACAAAGCCATACCGAACGAATCTAGCAATGTCTAACATCAATGGTTCCAATCTTCAACACGAATGGTTCCAGTCAACCTCCTTGTCAGACTATATTTGCTTCTTGCGTCCATCAAGAATAATGTAATCTATGACTTTCATCCAGGTTACTTTTTCTTGTTTCCAAACGGATTAAAGCTGTTCCTGCCTTCAAAAGTTTGCGCACGCTCTCTTTCGAAGGCCTTCAAGGCAAATTCCTTTACCTGAGATCTATTTCTTCTACGCATTGCCGCATTGACAATGCCTGCAATGACAGCCACGCCAATCATGCTGCCAATAACGATGCCAATCAACAGCCCAGTCGAGAAAAGACTGTCTAGGATCAGAGCATTTCGAAATCAACAGGAGAATCGCAAAAACATTGGTTGGGGGAAAGCTGCAACTTGAAGTATTGTTAAAGCAAAGTTTTAAAGATATAATCATATCAAATTTCCTTAGTTTTAGTAGTAAAGAACGTTCTTGAAATATCAAAACAAATAAACGGTGCAAATTCTTATCAAATTCTTTAGCAGAAAATGGATAGGTTAAAGAACATTTACTAAGAACATTTAAAGAACAGTTACATGTCATGGACCATTAAAACTTTAAAGGAGGTATTAGGGATTGTGTCACGTAACAAATCTTCAACTGCAACAAAAAAAGTCCCAGAGCATAAATTAAAACTTTGGGTGGAACAGTGAATCCACTCTTCCACTGTTCGACTCGTCTCCCTTATAAGAATCTGGTACCGAGGGTAACACTAATAATTGGGTTCTAGAGATAAAAATCCTACCAGCAATATATGGCAGAAGTATATCTAATTTTACACCGAAAAGACATTAGCTACTTCTCTGTAATGTGCTGTAGCCCAGATGTGCAATTACGCTGTCTGTATAGTGGGTTCAAGCCCACTTGAAAAGCTCGTTATCGTCCACAAGAGGGCAATGAACTATATCAGCAATGAAGCTATTTCTGAATTCCTGGAAACTGGTGGGTGCTAAGTAAGACCGTGAAATTAGCTTTTTCATTATAACCATTGAAAATACATTAGCAGCACTTTAGATGGCTTATGTAAATGCATGTCAAGGACCGCACTTTGAACTCAAAGTAGAAAGGTTATACAGTAGAACAGGTTTCAATCATGTATCCTACAGATATGTGAAAGAAACATGGCCTCGTGGCCCCCATTTTATATACATTAATTGTACTTGGTTGCTGTGTATGGAGGAAAAGTAATTATCAAGAATCGCGAAAACTCCTGTTAAAGACGAACAAGAGTCTAGTGTTGTTTTAGCGATAGAGAATCTGGAATCAATGAACAAGAGAACTAGTGTTTAAGGGTTACTGAAGAACCGAGAATCTAGTAGCGGGAGAGATTCTAATAGCAAGTCAGAAGGAGCCAATATTAGCTTAAGTAAAGTAGCGGAATTTTCTTTATAATGAAATATACATTCACCGGTCTGAGATTTAGTACGACAGGGCTGTACACGTTCAGGACGGTTCTAAGTTGCACCTCCGAGTTTGATGCTTAATGCGATCACAAGGCAACAATAAAGCCACTCTTTGTGTGGTTTTTATCTTATCTAGTTGCTAAGTCTCTGGAGGTATCAGAAATAAGCATTGGTAATTATGTTTCTTACCTTTGACGGTTTTCACTAAATATTTAATTATTTATTTCACTATTGATTGTCATAAAATCAATAAAGGATGCGGATTCTTTGAAGTACTGGGAAGGATAAAATGCTGAAAATATAAGACTTGACGTGGATGACATCTTATCAAAGTCGTCAAAAAAAATTTGGTAGGACCCCTAGAATCAGAAGCCGCCATCTTCCTCTAGATGCTCAAGGGGTAGTTTTTGGCTTCATGTAGGCATCTAATCGCCAATGGCAATAGATAAAGCTTTGTCTGCTGATATTTTGGACTGTAAAAATCACAATGAAACAAACCTCTATTCTTTTCACAGACGTAAGGTTTTCTGGTGTCACAGCTAAGATCATACCATCGTGTTTTTGACTGCCAGTCTTTGAGAATCACGCAGTCTTCTCCATCGCAGCTTTCGCTATAATCCCTTTGGAAAACCATGTCATTAGGCTCTCCTTGTGCCCAGTTTTTATACGGTAGCTCTTTCCCACTGTATGTCAGTTGGTTCCAAACAAATGACCCTTGGTAAGGAAAATGATATACTTTATTGACATTATTGGCAAAGAAAGGGAAAAATGAAATCTTAAAGACAAAGGTTTGTGAATTGCAATTTTTTTACAAGAAATTTTGATCCAGTTATGTAGTATTTATGACGTCGAATTAAATTTGAAAATGAAATGAGTTTAAAAGGTCTTTCCAATTATAGAATTGTTAAGTCTTAACTACAAGACCTTAGTTTCGAAATATAGAATCATTAAAAAATGATGCTAAAATACAACATTATGCGAAATATTACGTCATGTGATTGCATTGAATAATAATTAGTGGATTGAATTGAATTTTATTACAAGATTCTGAAACTTTTAAAGTTGGCGTAATAAAAATGTCCTGTCAAAAATACCTGCCAATCAAGCAGCAACCAATCAAATTCTTTATTTTGGTTTTTGACGTATTTGGGCATTTGAAAAAACTTTTATATGCACTATGCTGAAACGTGGTCAGCAAGCCTGACTGGTTGGAACAGACCATTTTATTCAAACAGTAAGCAATGAAATATTTTGTTTCGATACCGGATAAACATTAATGTCAACAAGATTTTTGGTATAGGTCACGTAAAAGAAGACCAAATCTTTGTGTATATATAGACGGTTACTCTCCATTGAGAAGTCTTAACTAAAAAATAACAGAGAAAGAAAAAATAGGGTTAAGGTAGAGGCATTACTTAACAAAATTAAACAATGAATAACAAAGAAGGGTCCAGTCTTACCAGCTTCGGCTATGTCATTCAGTCCAATCCATGCATCCTTATATATTAAATTTGTCACATTATCGTTCTCGGGTTTACTGTTTATTTCAATAAGTTTGCCACCAAAAGACTTGCATATCTGCTTAGCATCATGCCACATTGCAAGTTGGTCGAAGAAACGAATTGACTTATCACAGTTGTCATTTATGCATTGCCAACTTGTATCTAAAATGAAAAATGCTCATTTTGTATCCTATGCTAAACTCAGCATCAACGCTTATCCTTTTCTGGCATACTTGGTACAAATAGCTAACTGAAAAAGAATGTTTTTAAAATCTATATATAGTGCGTAGATACATTTATACAATGTGCCAACAGCCTTTTTGTAAATGATTCAGGTTTCAGAAGATAGCTTTAAAGTTCTTAAACTATGAAGTTGGAAATTTTTTGTTAAGAATTTAAGAATTTAAGTTAAGAATTTTTGAACCTAGATTACATAACCAGCTAACGCATCATGAAATGATGTGTGAAATCGCCATATTGAATTAGATATTGGCCATGCAAACCCCATCAAGTCAATAAAATCTGGTCTCTGTTCATAACTTCATGAACAAGCCCAAGAAAATTAACCTGTAAGCAATTTACATATCTGTTATTGGCCATATCTCACCCAATTTGCAACAGCTCTAACCGATTTTAAATATTTAAGAAGTATTTTTTGGTGTTTTTTTTAAGTTATAAGGTCAAGAGTAAAATATTTGATTTCTGGATGTCAAGAACTCTATTAAGCTTACTCAAGGTAGAGACAGAAAATCTTCTCATTTGCAGATCAGGATCTGATTTAAGTGAGAACTGTTCTGCTTTATTGTCTCAAAGCAAATTAACATACAATGATTATCAGAAAGAACATCCGTTAATTATCATAAAACTCGAGGTGTTTCAATATTGAAAGTATAAATGAGACAGGAGATTGACGTAAATCCATGAAAATGCATTTCACACTCAGATAATCCTTATGAATCACGAGAGATAAACACGTGTTGTGGAAATTAAATTGAAATAATGAAATAAAATCTAGCAATCAAATTCTGCACTAAACAGTTTTGTTTACAAATTCAATCATGAAAAAGACCATTGCATTCGAAGATTCCTCTGATGTGAAAAGTAGGTTGCAATGGCTGTTGTAATGGGCAAGGGCCATTCGAAGAAATAAATAAGAATAAAAAAGGAAATAAATAAACAACTATTCAAAGGTTTATGATGAAGCATTGTTACAAATCTAGGTAACAACAAGACACGCAAGAAAAAGGCGTGAACGTCTGACGTAATCTCCTGTTGTTCGATGCGAAGTCTTGAGACGAATAAGATAACGATAATGGAATACGATAATGGAATACGATAAAGGAAGAAAATATCAGACAAAACTTCTCACAAAGAACACGTTGATGTCATCCTTCTGTTTTGTTTAATATACTCTTGTTACATAAGCGCTGCATTGTTACTCTGGTGCAAGTTATTACTCAAAGGTATCTTTTACAAAGAAGAAGATTATTCAACCTTTTCATTAAAAACCAGCAGCAATATATACATGCAGCCATCATAAAGCTATAAATCATTCTAAAACATAATTTTACGTTGACGATCTTTTCACTAACATGAGTCCATGTTACTAATAAATATGCGATAGCGAATAACACTGTTCGCTATCGCAAGTCCATGCATTCAGTACCATTCCTTTTTCCAAACATATTATTTCACGTATCAAGTGTTTTATCAAGATCGGGAGCTCAAAAGAACTAAATTTAAAACTAGATATAGCTGATTATTGTAGATAACAAAAATTAATAATCACATGTACGTACGTATTTTGTTAAATGCAGATTGTATTTTATTTTTCGCTAATTACCACCTGAATCCTTACTTAAAGACTTCAGACAGTACAAATTACACTAGATCCCTTGTCAAAAGCATTCAAAAGAAAGCAAGGAAATTAAGGCGTTAGATTAATTGCCTTGATTGATTGGTTAATCAAAATTGTTGGAAAAAATAAAATAAAATTAAAGTTTTTTAAGTTTTTTTCTAAACATGTGTGAACCGGCGGCTTTTCGGTATATAAACAGCGCCAAATGTTGAATCATCGATGAGAAAGAAAAAAATTAAGGCGTTAGATGATTGCGTGGTAGCTCCATTGAGTTACTTTGTCTGAAGGCAATCCAGTAATCAGCTCCGCTGATCACTAAAAAGCTGAACGACTACGATGTTGATCTCTAGTTGCCAACAAACAGTTCATCTTTTTTAAAAACTTCAGGATCTATTTTCAGGAAAAAATGCGCCTACTGCATTCGCTCCGCAAATCTCAAATGAAGTCTTGCAACTAAAAAGTTTGCACCTGCGATACACTTCACGGGTTTCTACTTTCAAAAGCATCAACAATTTTATTGATAAGTTTATCATTTAGGCCCTCCAAAATATGAAAATCTGCTCTCTTTGACAAAAAACAATAGGGTTGAGTGGGTCTGGCTACAAAATATTGGGAGAAATGCAACAAAGACTACCAAAAAGATCATTCGAGTACCAACGGAAATTTGAATAGTAATGACAATCCAGTGCTACAAATTGACCGGCTGTCGTTATCAGCCGATTTCCGAATCCGATATTGACCAACATCAAAGCCGGGATGACGTTTACTGTTGACTCATCTCTCTAATAAAGTGCTTGATGCCGCACAGGCAATGTGTAACTTTGAAAATGAGATCATTAGGCAACTCGAAGAGGGATTAAATATTAGATGATATTCCTGTTATTCCATTCATTATTTAGGAAATCAATTGTTATATTATAACGACCTACATTAAGGGTGTTTATAGTCGTTTTTCCAAACAGTCAATCTAATACAACCATATTATAAATTCGTTTTAAATCGCATCTTAATATTACACATAACTTCAAACAACATTGATAAAAAAATCATTCACTATTTTCCAACACAACCGTTCATTATAGTTGAGATAAACCCATCAAAATATTTCAAGACAGGTGAAATAACAAAATTTAATCAGCCTGACAAAATCCGACAACACAACAAGCATAATAACGTATATTGAATATATACCACTTCAAATTACGGGATCGTCATATGAGATCGGCTTTTGTTTCTGATACATTTACCTACGAAAAAACCTTCATCCGATGATGTGGTTTGGCTTAAGTTTTAAGAGCGACATTAACATTTTTCAATTTGTTGTTTTGTGATATCATGCTTCACGAGGTGACGTTAGAGGATCTGCATAAAGCAATAAGTGATTGATATTTTTTCTTCGGTATGCTAAGGGCTTTTTTAGAACGAAAGCTGGCATGCGTTGTTGGTATGTTTTGCACATCTCTCTGGTTTGCTGCGTTGTTTTCTTAAAGGCCCGCATTGTTATCTGCATCTTAATGCAATGCATCAAAACATTGATAGAAGGCACTTGGAGATCATACGCAACTGATTTTTGTTCAAATTTAAGTCATGTTTGCGCTGGTGGTGCTGGGTACAGGATTCTCGTTGGACCACACCCAAACCTGCGATATGCAAACTCACCAATTATTCTCTTACGATTTTTTCGGATATAAGCGAATAATATAAAGTGTCCTGGCGATTAGTAGGGAGTACTTGTCCCCTAGGGGAATACTAAACCATTTTACATAAAGGTGGTCAATCTGGCAAAAATTTTGCCCCTAAGATGTCATATCCCCAAAAAATTAATCTTTATATGAAAAAATTCATCCGCTGAATATACACATAAAATAAGACATATTGTTCTTCCGCTGCCCAGCGTTCAGCATACTTACTACATTGAGATCAATGACTTTTTAAAACAAAAACATTTTTATAATGGAGTTTGCCATACCCCAAAATATTTCCGGTTCTAGAATATTCAGATGGGCCTCCCCTTTGCAAGGTTCCAGAGTACCCGTCCCCTCCCTCACTTAGGAGTCACCATCCCGTGATACCACCTATGAGTTAACTTACTTATAGAAATACTAGCTATAATTTGATCAAAATGAAAAACATTTTGGAGCAGAAATACCTTTTAGTGTATACTGAATTGTATATGAAAAAAAAGAAAACAAGATTCTCCGCTCTCTTCTCTTCACCCATTCTTTTGACGTAAACAGCTGCATAAATACACTAAAGAATTAATCCTTGAATTCGGTGTTATACTGTTTGATTTGACTGGTATCTCGGCGTTTTTCCATCAAATCCACGAAAAGATTAGCGCTTAGCTACGAAATTTGACATTCAATTGCAAAACTACCTTGGACTGGAGAAACCTGCTTAAATTAAAAATATTGGTGACATCCTGATTGAACTTATACTTGTTGCTTATTTTTCTGGCATTCATTTTGAGATGAATTTTATCCATAAATTTTTAAATCCATCTTAGCAGAGCGGTGCACCAGCTAATAAAATGATCAATCTTGGTTTAAGACGTAAAACGTGATTTCATCAGAATTCACAAAATGAATGAGCCAATGGCGACAAACTCTCTTGAAATAGACAGTTATGAATTAAAAGTATTTCGTCGTTTCATATCTCAATAGGTAACACAACACCAAAGCCTTTAAGAAAGACTATTAATCCGAAATGGAAACAAGTGAAGTATAAATGTAAGTTTGACTAGACCTTCTTATAAAGCCAGAAACAATGCTCGCTTTTGTAGACTTAAGAAACAGATTAGAATAGAATCTCTAGTATTAAAATGAAAAGAGGCAAAAACAGTCTGTCACCAGCAAAACATTGTCGGCTCCTCTAATGTGTGAGATATCTTATCGGGCTACTTCACAAAAGTGTTGGGAATAATATTTTCATCGAATCAATCTTTCTGTGTGATTCAATATACAGGATCTTTGGAGGTCCTGTTCCTAAAATTACTAGATAAATTTTCTCTTTTTTATTAATAGTCAACTATTTATCACAAATTGATGCAACCTTTGTTATGAGTTTTGCAGAGTAAAGCATTTTTGGAAACAGACAATATTTTTAATCTTAAATGCTGGAGATATATCATTCAATCTTATTACTTCTTTTGCTTTAATCACTCATTATATAATAAGAACGCCTCCAATAGCAAGAAACTTACTAACTTTGGCAAATAATTGCTTCTTTTTTGTTATTTTTTCAAATTGGCCTACTGGATATTTGATGTTTTAGTGTTTTGTAGTCATTCTACTAAAAGACAGCCAGCCTTATATATCTAATATTTTGTTCTGCTGAGAAGATGTAAAATTAAAATGATTATTAGGCCTTATGTGGATGTTTGTAGGTCTAGATGTCGATAGATTAGTAAATTACGAACTGTGACTTATAGTTTTTCTTCTGAACAAATAATAAAACGTAACATAATATCGTAAACAAAAAATAGCTCCTAGCCTAGGAAAAACTTCAGGCTCGGACAGAAAAGGCTTGGACAGAAAAGGCTTGGACGGACAAGGGTCGGGCGGAAAAGGGTCGGACGGAGATGCTAGACAGAATTTTTGAAGTCATTTCTGAGCCGTAAGCCTGATCTCAGGTTTATAACTCCCACAGAACATTATCAAGCAAGCATGCCAATTTGACAACAAAGCAAGCGAGAATTAGGCATTTTTCTTACTTTTTTTCATATATTGATAAGTGTTTTAAGTCAAAAGAAATAAACTAAGATGGTCAAAATGTGACCCAAACATCGCACGACAAATGGTAGATTAGTTCTACATTTCGCTCCTTTATCGCTCTCCTTTTTCTTTTTATCTTTTTAAAATGTATACATCGACAATAGAAAAACAAACACTGATGAACACATTTTCAACTATAACATTTTAACATTATTCTTTGTACAATATTTACATTAAATGTTTCAAGTATGACGTTATCAGTTCATCTTCAAAAAAGAGAAAATGCAAAGAACGATGTAATTATGGACATCCAAATAGCATAATGACTTTACACTAAGTGATAAAGTAACAAACCATGGTAAGTTTCAGAAAAGAGGGCCAGACTGGTACCATGATGTCAGTGGTGTTAGAAACACTTAAAATGGTCTCAAAACCAAGTTGGAAAGTCAAGAGGGAAGGGGAGGCAAACTCAAATTAAAGACTTATTATGGAAGATTTTGCAAAAACACTCTCTTGTTTTGCAAAGTCCTCTCGTCATTGATGGCCCTGCTCTAAAACAGTCAGGTTTAGGGGGTGTAGTAGATAAAATCGGCAAAACCAGAATCACTGAAAATGTCAATTTCAAGGCGTTTCTAAGGACAAATCTACATGTTGACGTTTGATACCATTTTGATTTCAGAAATACTCCTTTCACATTTCGTATTTCACTCTTAATTAGTTTATAACACTTTTTGTGACTCTCATACTTCAATTTATAAATATTCTCTTCTTTGAATTCTGAGGGAATGACTAGAAATAATTTCTTAATATTAGATTACCCAACTGGCAAAGTGGAAAGCGTTGCTGCATCAGCTGTTACCTAACCTGGTATTTGAATGTGGAAAGGACCAAAGGTGAAACAACACATAACACCTTGTCGAACTTGTGGTACACCAGTTTTCTATTTAGCCTTATTGCATTCTGAAACAAAACGACCAACTTTTTCCAGATATTTCTTCACTAAAAGACTAAGTGGTACATTTCAAATCATTTGTAAAATATTGCAATACGTTACAGCTCACTTAAAGATGGTAAATAATATGGAGGCTGATAATAAAAGATTTCTTTTTTGCAAAAATGTTCGAGCGTTGGTATTAGAGCAGATTGACGCGATGCATCTTTATAGAACCAAAGGGGTGAAAAATGGTTGGCATATCTTTTCAAGAAGCCTAAAGTGAATATCTTAAAGAAAATAAATTTTTCACTCAATTGAGTTTAAAGAAATTGTTAGTTTCTGTAGTAGTCGTCAAATTAGTTATAGGTTGTTCTCAATCCAAAGGGACTCTGTCAGCATACTACCATACGATCCATATCCCAACACCTTTGATTATCTTCACACTAATTCCCGATTTAATTCCCGCAAATAAATGTTCTTTTCAAGTATTTACGCAGATCCCGTTTCACTAAGAAGTACAAAACAGGGTTTAACAGACTGTTGAGAACAGTGAGACAAAGTGCAAATCTACGTAGCCACGATATGTTCAAGGTAATCCCAGCTGCGTAACACGTCCGATAGGCCGCTAGCGGCAACCAGAATAAGAGAAACAACGTAACTATCGCGATGCAAAACATAGATGTTTGCTTGAGTTCCAGTCTTCTGATGCCTCTAATGCTACTTCCGATTTGACCATCGCTGCCCGATGCAGCAGTACGCTTGCATTTTTGTTGTGACTCCTGCAGCTCCAATACAACAGATTTTCTTACTCCCTTTGGGGCGTAATCGGTTGGTGATTCCTCGTCTACAACAGTCGTTGCACCACTTTGTTTTGAAAATCTTGAGCGAACAACCGAGAAATGCTTCTTGATACTAGAGATCAAAAAGCCATTGCTGCAAATTAAAACGAGCGCTGCAAGCAAGAAGAAACCAGAAAAAAGAATGCTTCGGACAGTTAGCTCGTATTTCGATGACAGATATATGAAAACGATGATCTGCTGCACTGAAATAATGATAGGCACCACCCAGAAAAATATAAGGAGCCTCGTTATCAGCCGACGATACTTTGGAGAGCTATATTGAAATGGCCTTTTAAGGGCAATCAACCTGTCAAGGGTAAGCAACGCCAACGACAGGACAGATATGAAAAGAGAGCTGAACATTGGGATGTTACCGAAAATCTTATAGTAGAGACTGTTTTGTTTTAAAAGCAGTAAGGCACCCAGGGAAGTGCCGAAAATGCCAACAAGAGTATCTGCTAGAGCCATTGAGAAGAGTATCCTGTTATGGGTGCTTGCAAGTAGTCGCCTTCGAAATCGTACAAACATGATACATGTCACTCCGTTCAGGAGAAATGTAAAAATGTCCAGAATTATGAGACTCCAGTAGAAAAGAAGCGTCTGTGAATGCTTATCCATTTAAGCAGTTTAGATCTTCACAGCTCAAGGTCTTATTCTTTACTTGTCGAGTGCCTTGGTCGAGTGTCAAGTGGTTCACAAAATCCTCTTGATTACTTTCAATCACAAAAACTTTCTCAAAATACAGATACCAAGAACATTATTTCTTCCGATTCCACTTTAAAACACTTCTTTTATAAAACAACCATCTTTCTGAGCTTGCCTTTAGACACACTGCATTCCTAGGACAAAAGGGGAACAAATTTAAGACAGTCTTTATCATCATCAGCGGACAGTAGTTCATATATTTACCAATCAAAGCATGTCGAAATAAAAACACAAAAAACAGTTAGTAATACGACAGGCAAAAATGAAACATTGTTTACAGAAATTCTCAGATTTTGCCTTCTCATACGTGAGATTCTCATTAGTTTACGAAAATTGACACAAAAAGATTTGATAAAAAAGCGTTTTATTGAGAATAAACAAAATAAAATACGAAAAGAGGGAAAGTTGCTATTCTCAAATCAGGGAAAATTCTGACAGCGTACTTTGAAATTACCAAACTAGAATCTTGTAAAAACGGAACTTAGCAATACTCGTCTTCTTAAAGATATTCATACTCGTAAAGCGTCTATTCCACCACGATCCTCACTGCCTGATTTTGATGTTAAATCCGCAGGATAGTCCATTGATGGTCAAACATGCAGTACACGGCTTACACGAGCATGTGAATAATACTTTTAATACATTTATTACTTTTATTAAGGTCTACTTTTTATTATGACAACATTACAAATATCACTTCTCAAAACAATTCTATAGTATAAACAATACTACGAGATGACGCTAATTCCAACATTGAATAGGCAGCACAAGTTGAAGGTTGAGTATGATTCAAAGAAAAGTAGAAGACGGCAAGAATACATTGTGCAAATACAGACAAAAGTGTGCTTGGCTTCTTATTTAGGTAGAAAAGTAGGCGAGAATGTTTACATCCTAAAATATTGCTTAAGATACAGTACGTTTTAAACAAACAAAATCTGACTTAAGTGTTTTTAAAAAAATTGCCCTTACCTATCTTACGAACAAAAGTCTATAAAGTAAATTTGCAGCCTAAAATTCAAATTATTCTGATAAGAACTAACATTTTAATTCTGACAAGCTTTACATCGATGCATCGAAACTACATACCGTTTGCGCAGATCAAGTCCCATGTTTATAGCAATACTCTTTGATTAAGACGGGTCGAGATGGGTCGATACGAGAGTAATCCAAGAAATTTTCATTAATTATTGATGAAGATATCAATCATGTAAAACAAGATCGTTAACTCCGTTTTTCTATCACAATCCTCTCATTAGTATATTTTGGTCTGGTTGAAAGAATTTATTGGATCAATGCGTAAATGATGAACATAGGCTGAAAACACCCTTAAAAATTCAGGTGAAACTCCGGGTATTCACAAAACACCTGTAACCTATTCCATTCAAACAGATTCACATGACGACTCCCTTAATAATCTTATTCATATCCTACAATAATGAAGTAAATTGACAAGAGACTTAATTCAGAAACTATCAGAAGATTTAGTATTTTAACAGATACATCACAATGAGCCTGCAATACTTTTGATAAGATTATCTCATAATGTTACGGTAAAGGAAAACATAACAGAGACAAAAAGATCACGTGCTTATATTTTAAAGCTAGGCCCTGAGCAAATACGGCTGGTACTCTTAAACACTTCATACAGTTCTTTTTTACCAACTTTAAAACATAAATAAAAAAGGGAAGCATTCCATTTTGAGCAACAAGCAAGGAGAAAAGTAAACTTTACTGGCCCCCACTTTATGTAGTACATAACATTAGCAAATTTTAAGAGTTAACGAAGGTAGTAAAGATCTCAAACGACTGACCGAAAGTATGACAGAAGAGGGCCTTGTCGACAGATGCAACTGCTGGCAATTCCTCCAAGGTTACAACGTCATCGGCCTATTATACCCAAAGGCAAGTTTGTAGCCACCATTCACGTAGAATCGTGAAGAGAATATATAATGAATTTTGGTTACCATTTATTCTACAATATTGAAACAATTCTTACAGCACAATAAAAACGTGCAGCATAAAACTTGAAACTAGGTAGCACCTTTTGCTTCCCTGTACAGTTTTCAACAATTTGATGGAAATTGCAAACGTAAGTTAGCTTCAGATAATTTTGTGATCTGAGGTGGTTTAAAGATCATAGTAGAAACTGTAATGTCGTGGTACTTGTGTGTACCATTGTTTGGTGTTGACATTTGTATTTTATATTGTCACGCTGTTATTTGTATGTAGTACCTATTTTAATATAATCAGTACACGAGGAAGAAAATTTTTCAATTTCAAACTCATGAGTTAACTTAGATCAAAAGCGGTGGAGGGGAATGTGTAACCATATGCACTGAGGTTTTTACTCAAACCTTTGCCCTGAGCATTATTGAAAACAGTTTTTTTACTCAATTTCTTTACTCTAAACAAAATTCGGTTGTTAAATAAGAAAGCAAAATGTCCATATTTCAACGTTCCTGTGCCAGACGGTGGTATTCACCAAACGTTTCTCGTTTTTGATAGATTTTTCGTATCCAAAACCTTGACGCAGATCGCAAAGGACATTCTAACAAAAATCTTTTGCTTCTACGTATTCTCAAAAGCAGAAGGAAAAGAAGTTTATCCACGTAAATCAAGCGTTTTGTGCAGAAAAAAATAATACACCCATGGAGCAGAAGTGTAGGGCTATGGAAAGGGGGCTTAGCATATATAAAAGATACAATAACTAAGGGGCTACAGATAGAAAAGGGGCTACAGATAGGGCCCTGTCCCATTTTATGCTAGCTCTAAATCCCTTTCAAGAAGGTAAACTATTGGCTCCTCTATACTATGTTTCCTATCAAGAAGGTCTTATGCATCAATGTCTTTGATGTTTAGAAGTACCCCACTGTAACACTGGTTATGAGATAAAGACAGGATATATCAAACTAAACTCTATAAATAATGTAAAATATAAATAAATGACATCAAATTTGAACTTGCTAAGATACCATGATCGCAAGAAAAAAGATGGCATTAACGAAAATAAAGCATAAAAACAAAATGAAAGAAAATACTTGCAAAGAAAAAGATTTCTAAACGCAAAATGTGACAGAGAGTGAATGTTTCTTGTTGTCTTGGTTTTAAGCCAAACAAACTGTTCATCCATTATGCTTAAATGTCAATTTACTAGAAGCTAGAACATAAACATGCTGGCCACGAAATGAAGTAAAAACATGTTCGGTAGTGACTTTAAAGTTAAAGGAATACTCACAGATTATCAAAAAGAAAACAGCAAGATGTGTATTATAAACTTGAAATAAAACTGGAATTGAATAACAGTTATATGTTAAAATAAGAGCAGAGGCAAGATTCTTCATCGTGATCTCTGCGTAATGACCTGGTCGAGATATAATCAAAATACTGTAGATGTTTACAATGGAATTTTGACTTCTTTGTGAGGTCACACGAAATATTTGAAGCTAGTTGTAAGAAAGCAAAGGAGAGGTCATTTGAGATATGAATATTTAAATGGATTGAAAATGAATGTTTGATGTTTGCAAGTCGGCAATGGTATTGGCAATAAATAAAAAGCATCGCAAAAGAAATTAAGTCTACAAATCGCAACCACATAATTTTATTCCTAAAAACTTATAGAAAGGTGTATTCAAGCTTTAATATTACTTTTATTTCTTTATAAGAAACAAAGGTTGATGTTTAGTACTCCAGTTTCTTAATGTTTTGTAAAATTTCGATACTCATTATTTCTTGAAAGTTTCTTAATTATGATGTCATGAATGATGTTATGAAATGCTTGTGACCTTTTTTATCACGTCAAGCGATTCGCTTCCGTTCTGATGCTGTATTTAAATGTGAGAAGTATATTTTTATTCCTTGTGTCTTAATTTCTAGGCCAAAAAGGGCAATCGTGTTCTTGGATTTTACAAAATTTCGTTGTTCTCAGTTTTTTCGCGATTTAATAGTTTCTTAATTTCTGACTGTCCAGTACTCGTTTCTTATAGCCAGTTTTGTATAAAAACATGAGCGAAACCTAAAAACGAAGGAAAGGCTCTAACGATCAAGAATTAAAGCCAAAGCTGACACTAACTATACACAAAAATAAATGTCAAAATTTATCTAATAGCAGATCTGCAGAACCTTGAACAAAGAAGAACAATAATTCCGTTACCTTTTAAAAAAGATGAATATGGTTACATAAAATGATCTATATATTGGCTTAAACAATTGAAAGCTCTGATCAAAACTATACCGAAGCAGGAAAACAAAAACAATATAAGATACGAAAAACCTTCACTCCATCGTAATTGTGAAGATCTTGCTTAGGTCAGAGAGTGACAGGATATATTATATTGCCAGTAGCATACCATAACGGGATAAACGGTTTACTTGCTCATACGAAACAGAAGTCACCAGTCAAGATTTATAGCAGGTTGCACTGACAAGAGGAAACAGTCGGCTGAGATAGTCAACAAAAATTGGAAAAATACTAGAAGCATATCTTAAATCATTTTAAAGACTTCCAGTTTATAATAATGCCTGTCTTGTCTCTTAATTAAACGCGTTTTCATTTTAAGTTAATCAGTGGTGAATCAATCTTAAAACATAACTTTAGTTTCAGAAGAGAAAAATAAGAATCTTGCCAATCAACAGCGAAGTTGAAAATGTTCAGAAATTTTTCAGCAGAAGTCAAATTGTTTCGTGCGAAATGACGACTGTATACCAAAAGATTGACAGTGGTAGGGACCGCAGCTCGCGCATCAGTGTCATGATTTCGAAGAAAGTGGGTATGAATTAGCAAAAAGATTTCAAAGATAACGTCGAAAAAACATGGTGCTGTGCGTTCCTCGTTAACATAGCCTCTGAAAAACACTGACATATATACCTTGCAAAAAATAGTTGGAATGACATAATATCAACGTTCAAAAGTCGAAAGCCCCATAAATTAGCTATTTTCCCTAGTTAAAAACACTGTCATTAAATTTTTTCCCTTCGATTCCTTTTAAGGAAAGAAATTATACGTCCAGTAAAAGTTCGATTATCATTGACAACAATGAGATGTTGATATTAAGTAAAACTTTAATGGGGAGAGGGGGCGGGAAACAATTTCAAAGATAACACACACCCCAGAAACAGAATTCAGTTGAAGCAATTT